TTGATAGATGTATGACATCACAAACTTCCAAAAGAAAAGCGTGGCATGGAACATGTTCCAGAATTGCCCATGCCTAAAAGGTCCTTATCTTCGGCAGATTATTTAAACTCTCTTTTAAGTGATCTGTCTGCCCACACTGGAGCCTTGAAGCTCGTGGGAAGCTAGCTGTGGTATCAGAGAGGCTCGCTGCCTCTCTGCTGCTCCTCTCTACCTCCCAGCCAATCAACAAGGGCAAGAAGCCAGCAGCAGTATTGGAGAGGCTTATCTCATTCAGCTGCTTGCTGACCCACTCCACTCTCAGCTGACCCACTCCACTTGGCAGCTGATCAGCAGAAGCGGGAGATTGGTTGCAGTTCCAGGGTTGGAGGGGCTCACAGCCTCCAGCTGCCTGTCAGCTGTTCTTCTCAGTTCCCCAGCTAGTTGCTGCTGCCACTGGATGATCTCTGGAGCAGTGATGGCAGAGGTGATGCCAGCCTCAGGGCACTGCACAGCCACCATGCGGCGGTGAGCCTGGTCTCAGCCAACCGAAGTGCTCTTCTCCACCTATCCCCTCGTTGTCGTCTAGTCGTTTAGTTGTGCCGGACTCTTTGTGACCCCATGGACCAGAGCACGCCAGGCCCTCCTGTCTTCCACGGCCTCCCGGAGTTGTGTCAGATTCATGGTTGCTTGGCAGACACTGTCCAGCCATCTCATCCTCTGTCATCCCCTTCTCCTCTTGCTGTCACACTTTCCTAGCATCAAGGTCTTTTCCAGGGAGTCTTCTCCTGCTAGGCTCCAAATCATGCCAAAAAGAATGTGTGCTCAGCATCACATAGGTGTGAGAAATGTTGCATCCAGGGGAAGGATGGCAAATTCTACACACAAACACAGAGAGTCTTTTTGTGTGTGTGTGGTCCAAATTGTGCCCTCAGTGATCCCTATATCATATCTTAATACCATTTGCAAAATTTTGTTTTTAAGGGGTACAAGCATGTTGGCCATGCAGTCACCATGACACCCCTAAACCTATCCTGTTTGCAAAGTTAATAAATCAACAGCAACATTCACACTCACCAAAATGATAAGGCCAGGCTGGTGAGGTGGAAAACAAACAAATGATTGGCTAATTAAATGAACTGATTTTGACTTCTGTGCTGTGTGAATGGAAATTTAGAAAATGAATTAAAGAATGGCAGAATCAATATAACGGGTTCTTCTGGCATGTGTTACTGCATCCTAAGGAAACCTAAGTAACATCTGAACCTCTGTTTTATACAGTAGGACTCCCGTATCTGCAGGATCAGTATGCATGGTCTGAAAAAGTTATTAATATTAAAAGAAAAGATCTAGAAAAAACTATTTTCACATGTAATACCATAACAGGCCACCAGATGGGGGAGACTGTGCAATGATTACTTGTTAGTGAAGAATACATAGAATGGTCTATGGCACCCTCTACTGGCCAGTTCTGGTAATGCATGTGAAAATCTTTTTTCTTTTTTGCCCTTTTATGTACACACAAACACACACACACACACACACACACACAGAGATGTTTCTACATGGTTTTCAGTTTTCTTTCACTCTTCAAATATCCTCAAATGTTCATGAAGATATGAGCAGTTTCTGCCCCATTCCCTTTGCCGCAGCTGAAGTCATTTCTAATCAGCACAGTACCAGGGAACAAGTCATATAGCACTGAAGTTTTAGTCGAACAGATAACTCATGGATGATGTATGCAGTCCTTTGTAGGTAAAAGCTGCTTCCCTCCTTTCTCTCAGCCAACCGTTTCCAGGCACTTATTTTTTTTAAAAAAAAAGCCTGAATTTTCCAGAAAGCTCCCCCAGTCCATGTTCTCCCAATTTCTTAGTCTCTTCACCGATATTTCTTATCTTCTTAATGTTCAACTGCAGTCTTTCTTTTGTCATTTCTTCTTTCTCCATATTTTGTCCTAAAAGTAGCTTCTTCTCCATAACACAGGTTACAAATCAAGACGAGTGCTGAAGCACACACATTTCTTTCAGAACAATCCATAGCTTCACTTGAACTTCACAGTCAAAATTTCTGCAGTGGTCTATAAAGCACAGACTGGTCTTCTTTTGAAGTTCCTCAGTGTACTCCAGTAGCCGGTATAAATTTGCAAAATGTGGCAACCAGATTGCTGACTGAGGCTGGTTATAGGGATCATATAAAACCCCTGTTACAGCAGCTCCACTGGCTGCTGATCCATTTCTGGACACAATTCAAAGTGCTGGTTCTAACATATAAAGCCCTAAATGGCCTGGGTCCAAGCTATCTCAAAGACTGTGTCTCCCATTATGAGCCTGCTTTGGTGTTAAGAGAAGAGGTGATGCCTTTCTCTTCATCCCAGCAGCTCCACAGATGTGTTTATTGGGGAATGGGAGAAGGCTTTCTCTGTTGCTGCTCTCAGACTCTGGAACTCCCTCCCACAGGACACCAGGCTGGCTCCACCTTTGCTGTCCTTCCTCAAGCAGGCAAAGGCCTTTCTCTTCAGGCAAACATTCCCTCAGTAACTGGCTGCCTGAGTGGATTTTTAAATGGGTTGTTGTCAATCCACCTTCTAATTTTCAGCCCTGCTGGGCAGAGCTCTGCCTCTCTCATACAACTTCACCCCTGCATGCATGTGTGACTCCGCCCCCTGCAGACTGGTTTCTGTTGTAACTGGAGCCTAACTGGATCTCTGTGTGGAGGAGGAGGACAGTTGCATGCAGGGAGGCAAAGACGCACAAGGACCCAGCTTAACGGGAACTTTGGTTGTGCCTTACTGCTTTGAATGTGTTTTTAGTATTGCTTTTGTTTACCATTTCTTACAGTGGTATTTGTATACTTTTTAGTATTTGTATACTTATTGTTTTTAGCTTTAAATATTGTCTTTAATTGTGTAAACACCCTTTGTATACTCAGTGCTTTTAGCTTTAAACATTTTTTAATTATGTAAGTCAACTCAGGTCCTTTTAAAGGAGAAAGCTGAGGATAAAAATTAATAAAATATGATATCTAGTACCTCTTCCTTTTTTGAAATCAGCTTGGATATCAGGCATATCTCACTCTATATAAGTTAAAAGCCTCTGTTGCAACACCTTGAACGTGCTTACATGGAAAACTAAGGCAATGGTCCTATATTTACTGCACTCCTTGGCATCCCCTTTATTGAGAACTGGAATAATCCTGGACCCTTTTTTTTTTTGCCATATTTGTTGGCATATTCTTGTTAGGATTTTTATAGATTCCGTCTGTGCAGCTTGAAATAGTTGTATTGGTATTACATCTAGCCCTGATGATGCCTTTCTTTTAAGTTCTTTCAGAGCAGTTTCACTTCACTTCCTAGAATTGCAGGTTCTTCATCATAGGATTCCTCTTCAAAGAAATCTGTCATCCTGTCTCCTGTTCTACATACAGTTCTTTATATTGCTTCCGCTTTCTCTTGATTTTATCCTATTCAGATAATATGCTCCTCTGCTGATCTTTCAGTATTCCCAATCTAGGTTTTCATTTCTCTTTCATTTGTTGGATCTTCTGGAAGAGATCTTTCATTTTTTGTTGTTTTCTTTTATTTCTCTGCACTGTAATAGTTATCTTTGTTGCTACATGATAGCTGCTGAAAAGTTATTTTCAAAATTCTGACCCTACTTCTGTCACATTTTTCTTTTGCTTCTTCCCTGTCATTATCAATTTTAAGTGTTTCTTCAATCTTTCAGGTAGGTTTGCCCCCCCACTTTGACTACAAGAATTGTCTTTTTCCAATCGTCCTTGAAAATACATCTGGTTTGAATCCACAGTTTTTCTGGTTTATGGTCAACTTTAAGTTTAAGAATGCAAACCTGTTCTTTATGTGGACTTTACATCTGTCAGAAATATTATTTAAATTATATTTTGGCACTATAATTCTTGTATTGTTCTTTTTCAGCTTTTCTCTAATTTTTGATATTACAGTTCATGGCCATCTGGTGGTGTAGTTATTTGTTCAGTTGCCTAAAACATATTTGCAATAAACAGTTTGTTGACTTCACAGAATTCTGAGTCATTTTTGACTCTTAGGTCAAATTCTCCAGTAACATTTGGTTCTGCTTTGTGTCCTACTTTTGCTTTCTAGTCACCTATGATTACCAACATGTCTTTTGATGTATGATTAATTTCTTTCTGTAGACATACATAATAAGTTTCAGTTACTTCTTCAGCACCTGTAGTTGAAGCATCTAGGCTTTCCAAGAAGTATGATTTATACTATTGGGTCAGTCTTTGCATTATAGCTTTAAACTACTTGTACTATACAGTATCTTGATTCAGATTTAGAGCCACTCTGTTGCTTTTGAGTTCGTAATTTCCATTTTGTACTTATCTGACTAAAAATGTTTCAGACCAGGCCATTTTAGTTTCCTCAAACTAAATACTGCAGCATTTAAATGTTCTGTCTCTTGCTTTACCATTTTCACTTCATAATTCTTACCTTCCACGTTCCAAATGTATGTGTTGTGCAGCTCTGGACTTTTCTTTCATCTCTGTGCATGTCAGCCACTAGATGTCATTTTGGCTTACATCCAGTTGTGTCATTAATGACTTTGCTATTCACATTGTCTTTTGCTTTTCCAAGAAGCAGATCCAGTGTCTTCCAACTGGGGAGTCTCATCTTCCATCAAGATCTCTTGTATCCTTTTGTATTGTTTCAACATAAGGTTTTCAAGAAGTGAAATATTCAGCAGTGGTTTACCATTGCCTGCCTTTTTAAAAAAAAAACCTGTGATATTTGGTAAGTTCATATTGAAATAAACAGACATTTCAGAACTAACAAAATTCCATGACTAATAGAATTCCTACCTTTTCTATTTACAATTAAGTATAAAAATCTGGTTCAAGCTAACAGAAAATGTTTGGTTTTGGGGGGAGTAGATTAAAGAAATAGAAACTAGTTGCATTTCCTGTTTACTACTCTTCAGTAAATTTTGAAAAAACAAACAAAACCCTACTGGCTGATATTCTGACTAGATTCTGTCAGGGCATCACAGAGCAATGTGTGAAACAGAAAAGCTCCAGATAGTTTTTTCCCAAAAGGTAACCACGGAGGAGGGAATTTATTTTGAAGAGCTCATGTAAAACTGTGGGATGGCGGCAGTGCTGGAACCGTGACATCATCCTTCATATTGGGGCCAGAAGAAACAATCATTTGCAGTTTGAGAAAGTCTGCTTTTCATTTACAGTCAGCGAGGCGGCCTTGATTGTAACGGGGGAGACAATCCAGTTTTCAGCTTTATCTTCCACCACAAGGCAGCTTAGCTGTCCCTTACTAGACACTCTGAAACTGGATTTTTTAAAAAAGTTAGCATTCCCATTTCCAGCTTCCTCTAGTTTGCTGTGAAGAAAAGCATCAAGGGAAGAACAGAGAAGTTGAATAAAATGAAGATATGAATTCAGAATGCAAATAATAACAGACATAAGATCCTGGAATTCCTAACTTAAGATTTACTCAGGGGTAAGTGATTTTATTTAACTTCTCAGTGAAAAAAGATGCTCTAATCTGACCAATCTAGTGTTTTGAAAATTTGGTTTTGAAATGTGTACATGTCTTGGTGGAGTGAGTTTAAAGAGTGGGGGGCAACTGGGAGGAAATTAGCTGTCCCTCCCTGTGGCATATTGGAGTGGATTTAGACCCCATTCATCACGGAGACCGAAGACGGCATAGCAGCTCCTGTGTCGGGAGGGCAGAATGGGCTGGAAGGGATAGGTTTCTCTCTCCTGAGGGAGAGAAGTTCAGTGGAGGCTTAGATTTTTAAGTAAGAAGTGGAAAAACAGGATGAGGGGCAGAAGCTCCCTGCTCATAAGGAGAGTATCACTGCACACTGCCTTTATCTCCCAAATAAGCTGTTTTCTCTGCTCCTTGTTGTGAATTCAGTTGGTAATGTTCCTTTTCTCACTGACAGATGTCTGACTTCGGGGCCAATTATTTTCACAGGCTCTGAGGTAGCTGGGATCAGAACTGCTTTGATCTGTTTGCCTTCATTTAATCAAAAAGCCATAAGCAAACACTCACTTTTCTTGAGTTTGTTACTTGCTGTGCCTCTGAGTTTCAGGTCCCTAATAAATTACATTATTATACTTGTATTAGGGGGAGGTGTGAGTGGGGAAGATAACAATAGGGTGAAGCAGTGAGGGATTTTGATATTTACATATTCTAAATATACCCAACAGATCAAGTGGTATTTTATTTACACTGCTGTGTGATGAGGTTTCCATGTTCTAGCTTGAGTTCTAAAATGTCATATCTGAGAAGTGCCAAAGAAAAGAACATTAAGGTCAAAGAACATCCCCCTGGGAGAGTCTCTGCCAGATTTAGCCTACTAAGCAAGAATGGGGCAGGTGATCCTCGGAAAGGGCCTCAACCCCCCCCCCGGGTATTCTTCTGTAGCATTTGTGTGGAGGGGTCCTTGGAGTCGCGTTATTGCATCACACTGAACACTAGAGGTATGGAGAGAGAATTGAGCTGCAGTAGTCTCTCACGTGTGCGAATTAAGAAGAGTTGTGAAAAGTAAAAGTAAACAAGCATGTACCTAAGTACTGTTTTGAGTTCTATGATGTGTCCTGGGAACTCAGGGGTCTTGTAGAGGACTAAGGAACAGGCTGGGAGAGGAGTGGACAGTTGCTCCCTTTTCTCCTTAGACCCTGTTAATCGCTCTGTATGTAATGCCAATGATTTTTTTAAAAAATGAATTTATCTTGTGTGGTCAGGTATTTCCATAGGTGGCTCCTGACCAGAGCAAAGAGGCATCCCGCCTCCGAATTTGGGACTTGGACCCTAAACTGCCCCGGGTGCTCCTTATTTTCACCATGGCGTATGTAGGGCAACCAACATCCTCAGCACAGGACAGGGACACGCCCTTTGGCTGCTGAGAAAAAGCTCCTTATTCCAGGGCATTTATGTTGCAGTGCATACAGAATAGGGCCCCACCCTTTTCACTGCAAAATGAGCTCTAGGGAACAGGCTGTTTTGCAAGGATTAAGCAAGGATCTGGCAATTGAGCTCTTAATGCATCTGCAGGACCAGGACATTTGACCTGACTGATAACCTGTAATAGTCCTTGTTTCTCTTGAAGTTCAATTGCTACTGCAATTTGCAATTAGCCTAATTGATATATCTGGGGCTGTTTGTGGTGGTGCTGAGATGAATTTGCATTCAAGGCAATGGCTTTGTGTCCATTTGTTTTTAATTATCTCCATTAGGGCTGTAATACTATACACAGTTTCATGAGAGCAAATTTCTTTGACACAAAAGGACTAACTGTAGTTGCAAGTAAATATTGCATGAGAATCCACTGTAAACCTGTGGGTTTATGACGAAAGATTTACCCAAATTTTGCCAAATCTTGTTAAGAATTTCACAATGCAGGATGTGAACATTTAACGGGCTACAGATACCGACATCTGAAAATTCAAAATCAATCAATACATTCAAATAGGTTTGAATTTTCAAAATCAGCTCAAATTTTGTTCTGGTGGCTAAGCTCACAGGAGTTACATTTGGAATTGGGATTCTTTGATATTGTGAAGACAACATATCACTTTACTTTACACCTTGAACTAGATGGCCTCAGGCAAGCTTCTCTCTCTCTCTCTCTGTCCCTTCCTCAGCTTGATACTCTTATCTATCTGCAACATGGGGGCAATAACACTGAACGTGTTCCTTGATTGTCATAAGGGTTATGGATACACTGAATGAGGAGCTCTTTGAGTATTGCAAATACCGGTAACATATAAATACTAAATGCTGCTGTAAAAGAAATAAAAGTACTCTGGAGAATCTTGCTTCATTTCTAGTCTTTCCTCAGAGCCATTCCTCTGTTGCATCATAAATGAGCACAACATACAGTGTGTAGAGTGGAGGCTTTCAGTGCTCTGTAGCAGAGTGCTTGATCAGTGGTCCTGGGTAGAAGAACTGGAGATGCCAGTTCCAGATTGCAAATTATAGCATCCTCTCCACTTCTCCACCTGGTATTAAAGGAAATTGTACTTGCATGTTTGCTGACACTCAGTTGTTTGAACTGAACATAGTAAAAAGCACCTTTGAAATGTAAATGCAGCCACCAATCATCTGTGCTTTTCTTATGCCACTGGACGCCATCTTCATTTGCATAACTGTGGCAGGTTTTATGGATGCCTACATATGGAATATTAGTAGCACAGAATCAAATCTTTTATACTTTTACTGGATCAATTGTGTGTTGCCGCCCTAGAAAGAAGGAGTAGACAAAAAGATCTGAGTTGCATGTGTGAATCCTACAGGGTAATGTCGGAACAGGCTGACAAGATGTCCATTTCATACGTTCCAGCAATATGAAAGCTAAGCCCGGGGTTCTCTTTGGGAGAGTTCTGCTCTGACTAATCTCTGCCAGGGCCATGCCAGACTCCTTGTCATTTTCTCTAGTAGCACTGCCTTCCCCACCAATTCCCTGTGTCAGAAAGATATTCTTGGCCCCAAACTGTTTCCTGCTTATACCTCTAGGCCAATAGTGCTCCTCCTGACCAAAACTGGAATGGCTTGCATCCAATTCATTCCAGTGGTTTCTATGGGATTTTGATTGGGAAACAAACTCTGCCAGTCCATCTGTGGCTCTTTTCCCCATGATGATTCAAAGGCTCCTTGCTAACCGCTGGAAGCCTGAGGGAGGCTGGACAGGCTTCCTCACACTTTTCTAACGGTTGGCAGTGGTTCCCATCAAGACACCCTCATTCTAGGTAGGCAAAGTCTGCTTTTTGTGCCTCCCTCCCTCCCTCTTTCTTCCTGTCTCCACCCTCCACATCCTCATAATCTGCTTGGCAGAAGGAAACTACCCACAGGATTTACAACTGAGCCTCCCGCAGAAGCAGAGATTCCTTACTACTACCTCTGCTTTCCCACATTTCTCTAGTGATTTATCTCACCTTTGTTTGTGTTGCAATTTCTAAATGATCCTTTACCTTGTTGCCTGGAAAGTTCTAAAAATTCCCATTCCTTAAACTGACTTTGTTTCACACAGGAACTGGTTTGGTTTTTTAGTGGCTTTCACTAAATTCTGGGGGACAAAATAAATGAGTTTGTCATACACAGAATTCAGTGATTGCATAGATACTGCAAAAAGTGTTACAAAGTGCACAGTCATAGAATATAGTTAACATATTAATTACAAAGTACAGAGGACTGAATACAAACAAGTCAAAGAAGCCTTCCACTGAAATACATCTGTTACTTGTTTTCTCCCTTGTGAATCAGAAGCCCAGCCAACCATGGAGTTCCATCATTTTTTCCAAATCCTCATGTTCTGTATCACACTTAAGATGATGAGTGAAATGGGTGGAGAGAAGGTGGTTGGAAAAAAAAAGTTGCTGCATACAAAAGTCTTGTTGACTTTTGAAGGATTTTCCTGTTCGATTTCAACAAGTATTCTTTTTCCTCTTGCTAGCTTAGACTGAGGTATCAGAAGCAGAAAACAGTATAGCATAGTTATACATTTTTGAATAAAAACATCTCTTTCATAGGAGTATCACTATTATTTCTAATGACCTTAATGACTCTTCTCTGGTTGACATCTAATTTTCTTAACAGTGTAATGAAAGCATTGAGAAATAAGTTTTCAAAGGTGTCTGAGGAAGTGGATTTGCTCCAGGAAGGCTCACATTGAAATTTAAATCTTTGCATTTGCTTTTTTTGTGTATGTTCTGGTTTTGACTGGTAAGAGAAATATGTTGTAAAGCAGTAATACTGAAGCTGGAAGTAGTGGGACATCACTCTCAGCTGATGTTGAGTTCTCCTAAACTAAAGTTAAAGGGAATATGTTTTCCTTGCAATTAATCCATATTTTCTTCCACACCATTTCCTCAGACATAGAGTGTTAGCAATTAGATTAGTAAATTAAGCCAAAGTTTCGCTCCTCATGACAAAAGAAAGCACCTTGGTATGCAGATAAACAGGCTTGTTTTACCACTTGAAGGAATGTAATTTCTAAATGGGGGCCAATTGTGTTTATCTTTGTTGTCTAGTCGTTAAGTCGTGTCCGACTCTTTGTGACCCCATGGACCAGAGCACTCTAGGCCCTCCTGTCTTCCACAGCCTCCTGGAGTTTGGTCAAATTCATGTTGGTAGCTTCGATGACACTGTCCAACCATCTTGTCCGCTGTCATCCCCTTCTCCTCTGGCCCTCACACTTTCCCAACATCAGGGTGTTTATCTAGTTTGATCCTAAGATAGCTTTAACCATGACTGACTCTAGTTCTTTTCTTTGTAGACCATTTTACTATCCCCAGTTGGCTCCAGTAACTGTTTTGGATCATTTGCAAAGCTTGTCAGGGGTACACACGTATGACACATCCTGTTTAGCAACATAAAGTATACTTGATTTGTGAGGAGCAATCTGAATGTTTTAAGGTTCAATCCCCCCTATTCCCCCCCTTTGTCTGTGGCATACAGCTGTCCAGATGGACATAGTGCTCAGGACCAAGCAC